GTCAGCTCATGGCTGGATAGCCTTAAGGGGGGTAAAAATAGAATCTGCAGCCAGTTCTGTCAATACCCTTAGGAACATGTGCCCTGAAGGCAGAGGTCCAAGTTGCCATGTTGGTGCACTTCAGTGCCTGGAAGAATCCACTGGTTCTCCCTTCAAATCTCATAAGAATGAGGAGCTAGAGCCTGGCACACAAGAGACCCTTTTTGGGACCCTTTTTTAGTGGGGACTTCAAACCCTGGGGTATTTTTTAACATCTGGGTCCCTAGCTGCTTCTCTTGCCCCTTTGAGACTGTGCCTTGTCTTCCTGTTCCATGCAAAGGAGAAGGAACTTCATGGGATGTGTGCTCAGACAAACCCAAAGAGCCCTGGAGGTGTTCAAGGCCAGGTTGGATGAGACCTTGAGCAACCTGGTCGAGCTGAGAGGTGGATGAGATGATCTCTGGGGTCCCTTCCAACCTCAGCCAGCCTATGAATTCCTCATTCCTGCAAAGCCTCAGTCACATGTTGTCTTGTTAATCCTGTCCCTGCTGCTGAATGGAACAACACCAACAAAAAGGTGATGGGGAGGTGAAAAGTTCTGCTTCCTGATGGGTGAAACAGGCATTTGTTCTATCAACAGGAGCAGGGAGAGCTGGAAACCCAGCCTGGGAGCTGACAGCATCGACCTATGTCACGTCCAGGAAAGGGATTGGCAGATGAACTCTCCCTACCTGACATCAGAGACAGGTAAGGGTAGTTTTAGAAAAACCCCAAAGATTTTTATAGCCAGTTGTCTCTGAAAGGTCACTGCTGACTCTGGAGATTTAGAGTTGGTGTGTACAGCTCTTGTCTGTGCTCTGACTGTAAATGTTCCACAGTATCTGTGCATGACTGTGGTGCTTGAACAAGAATGAAAACATGTAGAGACCAAGGCAGAAAAAAATAACATGCAAAAGAGGTAGAAGGAAACAAATGATGAGTTGCTCTTCTGGTAAACACCAGGTATCAAATGTCACATACTCTAACTGCCAGGCTTAGGGTCCCCTTGGGTGCCACCTGCCACTTGTCTCTCTAGGACCCTGGGAGGTCCCTTCTCTACTGCTGGCTTTGTGACCCCGAGCAGAAGGCTGATTAATGGTCAGATTTGGTATTTAGGCAGTGCTGGTCATTAATGTCCATCTCTGAGCTGCAGGGCAATGGCCAGTTCCTCCATCTGCAGCCACTACACTGTCCCTGTCCCTTCTGACAGGCATGGTCCAGTCTATTGCTGCTGCTGTACTTCTAGAGGTGAAGAGTGTGAGGTGTCAGGAGATGAAGTGTGGTGCCTGTCAGAGTCCTGGTCTCCTACTGCTCAAGTTGTTCTGTTAGTTATAAAATCACCCACCCCTGCTGCTGCTGGATGTTCTTCCTGTTGGCTCTCCAGCAGCATTAGGTCTCTGTGACTGGTGTGTGGGATGTTCTGGGGTATGGCACTGGCAGAAAGTGAGGTTAGGTGACTCACAGCTCCTCAGGCCAGCTTTGACATCAGAACAACTGCCAGGGTGCTAACAGGATTCATCTCCTCCACGTCACCCTTCTCTGTGGGACTCCAGCCAGGGTACAAGTGCACAAAAGCCTCAGGGAGTTTCTGGGGAGCCTGAGCTGCTCCCCTGGGCAAGTGTCTGAGCAGCACGTGCAGCTGGTCCCATCTCTTCTTGTTCCTCAGGTTTTTCTCTGCACACCTCATAGACAAATGTTTTTTTCAGAGGGAATCCTAAGAGCATTTGTGACACCCCATGATTTCTGTCACTGTTGCCAGCTGCTGTGAGGAGGTTTGCAGGGAGCCCACACACTGTCTTTTAATGAAACTGGAAGGACCTTGGCCTCAAAGGCAGTTGCTGCTGGGACAATGAAGAAATCCTAATTTTGAGAAATTTGGCTTTCCTTCATTGGCCTTTTGTTCTTGCTTTCTTCACACAGCTGAGGTAGAACTCCTCTTTCACAGCCTGAGCCTGGGAAAGTTGGGTTCAATGGGGAGGTGTAGCCCCTGCTGTCCACACTCACTTTCTGCACGTGCTGAGGAGCTTCTCAAGCTGCTGCTGCCACGTTTCTGCACTGTCCCAGCCTGGGCAAAGGGCAGGAGAAGGTGGAAGGGAGAGTTTGGCTATCACACTGTTTACCAGACGTGGGCTGCTCTGCCCCCAGGAATTCTGGCTGCAGCCACAGTAAGCTGGAGGGGCTTAGTGTGCTCCAGCTATTCCCTTTCTGGCAGGAGGAATATTTTCAAGTATTTTCAGCCAGCATGCCCTGGGGTGAATCTTAACCTGACCACAGGAAAGATTTTGAAACAGGTTCTCATTATTATTAGCCTGTTCTTACAAGAGCCAGGGATAACAAAAACATCCTGGGAGCTGGTCAAGGCTTGTGTGAGATTCAGAAATGGTCAGAACTGGTCTGCAGAGTGTGTTGCAGTGTCCAAGTGCTTTGTCTAATGACTTGTCTTCATCACAAGACTCTGCAGAGGGTGAGAGAGGTTTGTGTGCTGCCGAGCGCACCGCGTTTTCTGACCAGCACCCAAAAACCTTCCCTGTGGTGCCTCTGAGAGTGGTTATACTGCTTGGAAGAGCTGGAGGAAGGAATCCTGCCCTGGGAGGGGGTTGAATCCAGGAACTGTGGTGTGCTGGAGCCCCGGGGTGGGCAGCAGAGCAGCAGGCAGCCTGTGTGTGCTCCCGGTGCAGGCGGTGAGGAGCATGTGGAGCAGCGCTGCGTGGGAAGAGGAGGGGATCTCCTGTGTGGCAGAAGCACAAAGTAGGAGGCTTTTAATTTCCATAACATAACAGTTGGCCTTCTAGGGGTATTACACTGGAAAAACTGACGGCAGAGAGCTGTCTCCTTTGCCTGCCTGCAGCTAGTTTGGATGTCATCCTTTGATAGGAAGGTTTCACTTAACGTGTGCAAGGGCACAGGCAGCTTTGCACCATCCAGCTTTAAAACTAGGAGGGTCTGTTGCATACCAAACCTGCCTGATTGTTCCCAGCCCATGACAGCAACAGGGGTAGAACCCAGAACAGACCAAAGGCAAAATGAAGAGTGTGTTGACTGACCTACTCTTTGAGATCCACAGATGATCTCCAGGAGAAAGCGTAGATCACACTGAAGCAAAAGTGATGGTGTCTGTGTGGGAAGTTTGTTCAAGCTTCACTGGCTCTGGATTAAGCTAAGGAATTAGTAGGGCAAGTGTCAAATGCTGTCTGTTGGTGTGACATTTGCTAGAGGTACTCATCTCTCTTCACAGATCTGATTCTTCCTTGCCTTGACCTATTTGTCACCACACGCAGCGTGGAAAAGAGCCCGTTAGAAGTTGCTCCTGCCCCAGAATGATCTGTTAAGTGGAGAGTGAGGTTGGATTTTAAAGATCCTCACTGTGCACACATAAAACCAACCACAAGCTCTAAGGGCACAGTGGAAATAGGAGCAGTGGGGGGAAGCAAGCTCTCTACGTGTAGAGCTGAGGTGGAAGCTTGAGTATGTGTTTGTATGAGGCAAGACATTTCAGAATTGAAACCCAGCAGCAGGGGATGAGTACAGGCAACATGTCTGTGGCTATGCACAGTTTTGCTGAGCAGCTGACTTTTGTTACCTAAATCCCAAGGGGGGTTGGGGACAGAAGAGCTGCACGTGTCTCTGAAGAGCCCGTTGCAGGTCTCTTCAGTTTTGGTCTGATCCTGCAGCCTGCAGGGAAGGGGCTGTTCTTCTTCTTGGTTTCATGGTCTCCATATGGAGTTGCATCAGCTCTGGAAAATAATTCAGAAGTCTCCTGATGCAGAGTGAAGGAAATTTAAATCAAGTTACAGAATCAGAAAATCTAAGTGGATGGATGAACTTACTGTTCATTGCAATCTGGTAGTTCAGTCCTTGAAGGCTTCTAAATGCATGAGGAATTCAGAATGAAATAGTCTGAGGGTGTTGAAGTTCATAGAATCGTTAAGTTTGGAAAAGACTTCTATGATCATCAAGTCCAACCATCACCCAACACTCCCCTGACCCCCAAACCATGTCCTGAAGTGCCATGTTTGCATGTTTTTTTGAACCCCTCCAGGTCTGAGGACTCCAGCACCTCCCTGGGCAGCCTGGGCCAGTGTCTCATCACTCTGGCAGGGAAGAAATTCTTACTAATCCACAATCAAAATCACCTCTGGCACAACTTCAGCCCATTTCCTCTCATCCTATCTCTGGTTACTTTGGAGAAGAGACCAACCCTCACCTCACTCCAGTGTCCTCTCAGGGAGCTGTAGAGAGCAGGAAGGTCTCCCCTGAGCCTCTTCTCTCCAGACTCAACACCCCAGGTCCCTCAGCTGCTCCTCACAAGCCATGTTCCCCAGAGCCCTCACCAGCTTTGTTGCCCTTCTCTGGACCCACACCAGCACCTCAATGCCCTTCTTATCCTGTGGGGCCCAAAACTGACCCCAGTGCTCAAGCTGTGACCTCCCCAGTGCTGAGCCCAGGGGCACGACCACTTCCCTACTCCTGCTGGACACACTATTTTTGATCCAGACCAGGATGCTGGTGGCTTTCTTAGCCACCTGAGCACACTCTGGCTCATGTCCAGCTGGCTGGCCACCAGCACCCCCAGGTCCTTTTCTCCCAGACACCTTTCCAGCCACTCTTCCCCAAGGCTTTAGCGTTGCCTCAGGTCATGTGCACACACCCATTTAAACTGCATTCATTTTCAATTGCATATCAACGTGCAGAATCCTTTTGAAACCCAGATGAGATGGAGCTACATCTTGCTCCTAACATGCAGCTCTTGATGGAATCCTGGGCCCTGGCTGCTGAGCTCTGCTCTATTCACAATCTGATGACATAATTTTGTTTCCCCGCCCCTAAAGAAACGGGGAGAGCCGGGCGCCAAACAGAAAAAGAAGAGCGTGGCCACAAAAAGCACAGTGCCTCCCCACATTGTCAGGGCAGAGAGCATTTCTGCAGGGGACTCCTGCCAGAAGCCCACCCCAGAGTGTTTTTGGGGTTGTGTGGCTCAAGAGATGCCAGAACAGACGAGCAGAACCAGCCAGCTGAAGATCCAAGCTTGCTTGTTGCTGGTGGTGTGGCCATGGGCACAGCCAGCCCTGGGGACGTCCTGCCAGGATGGGGAGCTGAGAATCATCAGTAAAGACAAAGAGAAATGCTGCCCCAAATGCATCTCTGCTGCAGGTAAGGGGATGATGTGTCTGTCTTCTTTCTGCTTCTCAATATGGTTTTATGTCAAGCAGGGTAACGGAGTGTGGGGAGCAGGAGTGTGTGTGTGTATGTAAATGTGTCTTGAATAACTCTGTATGCAAATCATGATGGCAAGGGCTTCCCTCCTGCCCTGAATTCAGAACCTGCCTCAGCCATAAACCCCAGAGGGGACTCATCTTTCAGGTTTGTTGTGTGCTTCTGCTTGTTATTCTGTAGGGAGGAAGGGGAGGTGGATTCCCATGGGCTAGTCTTGCTCCCAAGGAAAGGTGTTCACCTCACACTGATGCTGAGCTGTTGCTCCGTGCAGACATGGTTCCATGTTTCTCTCTGCCATCCAGAGGGAATGCAGGGAGTGATGCTCTCTGTAGGGCTGCCCTTTGCAGTCTGTGGTCCAAAAGAGCAGCCCACTTCAATCCCTCTGTTCCTCTGACCTGTGCTTGTCCCATGGGTAGATGCACAGAGAAGGTCTCAGGTGATGACTGGTTTCAATAGCCTGTTCTGACCTGTAGTTCCTGCCTGAAGGACAGAAGAGGTGATTCTAATGGCCTCAGCCATGGTCCAGTTGTTTGTACGACCTACAAGGCACCTTCCTTCTCCATTTGTCCCCAGACAGAGCTGCTGTCCAGCTAGCATGGTAGTGCTGTCATCCAGCAGGGCTAGCTAAGAAGTTAACAGCTTCCACTGGTGCCTGGGTGGGAATCAGCCTCTCACCTTTTAGTAGCTTGACTATATCTGCCTCAGCTGACAAGAAGGACACTGAGCTGCCTCTGGAAGGAGCGAGTGGACACGTGGGATTTGTGAGAATATGCAATGAAGAGGTGAAGAGTTGTGGAGTCCTCAGCAGTGTGGAGACCCCAGGGCATTGTCCTCTCCACTGGGCTGAAGGCATTCAGCCTCAGGAGAGTTGTTGGTTGGTGGGAGCAGCTCCAGAATCACCCACTAATCCTAGGCAGCAGCATCCTCAAGCTGTTTCCTTTTTGCTGCCAGACTTCATCATTAAGTTTGGAAAGCAAGTAAAAGGGAGCCAGTGGGCAGAGGAAGATGTAGGCACTTCTGTGGTGGCCCTGTATCTATCACCTCTACCAGGAAACAGTCCTTGCTTGTCCTTTGATGCTCACTGTGGGTTTTCAAGCATGCTATTGAACTAGCCAGTGTTTCTCTATTTTTTTAAGGTTATACAGCTTCCTGGTTGAGCAGCACTTTTCTTCTAACTGGTCTTCAGCTGCCTGAGGGACTGCTTGATACAGTTTGCTGATGGGATCAGTGTTTATGATCAATCCTTTGCTTTCATGAACTCAGGACCCTCTCAAAATGAAAGATGATATTTTTTTAGTGCAAGTTCACAACAGAACTCCTCTAGAGGCAGGAGGACAGAGGGTGGGAAGGGTGCTGGTTTTATGGCTTGGATTTAGAGCCACTTCTGCCAACAGAGTGTAGGAATTAGCTGCTGTTGTTAGAACAGGAGCTCTAGCTGCACTGGCCAAGGATGATCTGGGTACCTCTTCTCTAGCATGGCTGAGCCAAACTGAGAAGAGCTCTGGCAGAGCTGACTGGATGGCTGGTTCATGTGCAGTGCTTCTCTGGGGCTCTGGCAGTGCCCTCCTCACCCCGTGGTGTCTCCAGCAGGTAGTGAAGCAAACCTGCTGCCTTACTTCTGACCTCCACGGGTGTCTCTGATAAGAGAGAAGGGTTACAGTGGTAAGTCCTGCACCATAGATAAGTCCTGCAAGATAACCATGGTGTGAAAATCTGCGTGGTGCTGAATTTGAGGACTCTAAACTTTAGCCAAGATGGGTGGGAATGGCATCATTCTGGTAGCCATTTTTTCCACCAAGGATTTATTCTACTTATGTCAGGCAGTGACACTAAGAGTCACGTTATTTTCTGACCTCCTTGACAAAGACAAATCTAACTTCTTTCCTCTTGCCAGGAGGCAACAGCCCATGCAAGGATATTGAGGACCACGACTGCAAGTGTCCTGAGGGCTCCAGCTGCACTGACAACATGTGTCTCTACTGTGTCAAGCTGCCTGAATGTGCAGCAGGCGAGGAGCTGGTGAGGCTTGGTAAGCAGAGAAACCCCAGCTCCAGTCAGAGCCCACACACAGCTCCCTCCACACACAACAACTCCTCTGGGGAAGGCTTGTGATGCAGAGAGAAAGGGCATTTATCCCGTGGCCTCTATGACTAAAGCTCTTGCTTCCTTATTTTACAGCTTTTCCCTTCCTAAATTTGAGACTTTCATGCTTGGAGTTCCTGGTGTTATTTTTCTTCCAAGCTGCTAGAGCTGTTGGTGGACGACTGTTTTATTCTGTGTTGCTTCTTGACTTCAGATCTCTGCTGTCAGAGCAGACTGTTCTGTACCTCTTCTGCAAGGGGGCTGCCCAGACAGCTCCCAAAATGCAAAGAGGGCAAGAACTGCTTGTTTTTCTCCAGGGGAGGGATTAATAATGCAGAGAGAGCGTGGAGAGGATGCATTGTGCTCCAATCTATTCCATCCCCATCTTTCAGTGCTGGCACTGACCACTAATTCACATTCTCTTTCCTTGTAGGTGTGGTGGACTTCAAATTCCAGTGTAAACCATGTGAGATAGGAACCTACTCCAACGTGAAGAATGGCTGGTGCCGAAACTGGACTGAGTATGTGTTTGGCAGTGCTTGCTTCCTTTGGAAATATGCATGATAAAGTTCTACTAAATGATTAATACTTAGAAAATCCAATTGAATCAAAGGCAAGATCACCAACGAGCTTTTCAAATTCAGCAGTATATGGTATTTCTCTCTCCTTTGGCATTATGAGCAGTCTCAAAGCAGAACTTAAGCTGCTTATTCCATTTCCTCCCAACTCCAGCTCAAACTGAGGCAAAATTATTCCAAACGTGGCCACGACTTGAAACAAAGAGACTGAAAAAAAGAAGTGCACATAAACAATTGTGATAGAGTGTTACCTTGTTGGGAAGCAGCCAGAACTTTGCCTGTACTGCTAGAAAAAGGGGAGAAAAAGGCAACAAATTGTGGGAAGAGTGGAGGGAAGGAAGCAAGGGAGCCAAGAGGATGAAGGGAAAGGCAGGAACCTTCTAAATGTGACTCTTATTCTTCTTTTAGCTGTGAAAGTTCTGGGCTTCTGACAATCAAGCCAGGCAACAGCACACACAATGCAGTGTGTGGTTGCCCCACTGAAGCCATGGAGCAAGGTACCTTCTCACAGTTACTTATTTCTCTGAGCCTATAATTTTTCTCTGCTCTTCTTCAGTTGATAATTATGCAGCAAGTCACCATTCAGAGCTCTTGCTATCATGAAAATTTGCTTTGAAAATGGATGTTGTCTGTTTGCAGTATTAATATAGGAGGAATTGTTGACTTGGGCAAAGATTCCACCATTTAAGCTCTTTCATTAATAAAGGCAGAGAAAAGCCCAGCAGTTGTCCTCTAATAGAGCACACTTATTGGGCAGACTATGAGTTTTCTCTCTCCTCTTGCTGTTTTGCTGGGTTTTCTTAGGAAGACAATAGCTTTGTTGCTCATCCAGCTCCTTTATGAATCTTGGTTGACTCCCCAACACCCAGAATTGGAACCTCCTGTCTTATCATGGATCAGATTAGATAGGAATAAGTGGGTACAGGCTTTGCAGGTACTGAGTATCCTGAAGAGAGCAAGAGGCACTGCTCCTGCCTTTCCTCCTCCTTGTCCTTGCAATGAATTGGTGAGAATTTCAGAGAAGTTGTTAGTTCTGCTGAAAGAAAGACAATTTATTAAGTTCTATATTTCCTTGGAAAAACTACCTTTCTTTTAACAACAATCTGTGCACATGATTTCTTCATCTTTATTAAATTAAATTGCAGCTCCTATCAGAAATGACTCTCTCTCCACCACCATCCTGGCCATCCTTACTGCAGTGGCTGTATTTGTGCTCATCTTGCTGACCTTCTTCTTGCATTTGTGCATATGGTCACTGAAGAAAGAAAAACACTTCACCCCTGATGGTAAGTGGCCTTTTGTGGACTTCCCTGTAGCTTTTTACTGGTGAATGAGCCCATTGAGCCAGAGCCAGAACAGAAGAAGTGAAGTTGAATAAACAGAGTAAATACAGATCTGCTCTGTGATTTTGGGGGGGTTACTTAGTTTCCCCAAGATGTGGGGCATCATCTGTGTGTCATTTCCTCAGAGAGAGGCTGTGTGGGTGAAGGTAACTAACTGACATGTGTGAAGACCTCTTGTGTGTGCAGTGCTTTTGCTTATTCTCACTGCAGATCTGGAACATAACTTCCCTAGGCTGCTGGGGGCTCCACAACCATCACACCATAGAGAAGAGACTGACAGCTGCCAGTTTCCAGAAGAAGAACATGGAGACAAAACCCCAGAAGAAAAGTCTTGCTATTTCTACCCTCAGAGTGCCCAGTGAAAACAGATAAATTGCTGTGTGCTGTGAGGATGGGGAGCTGAGCTCAGCTTTTCAAAAAAAAGAAGGAGAGGGGCTGGGTGCATAAAGCACCCTTGGACAGACAGCAATAAGGAATGGGCTTGGGGGGGGGAGTTGTGCTTCATTTCTTCTCAACAAACACAGCATTTAGAAACAGAAAACCCGCTCAATCAGTCTGACATTTCAGTTTGGCTGCATTATTGCCAGTTTCCTGGGTTGTTGGGTACTTCCCAGGTACATCTGTACTTCCAAGATGTGTCCTGATGCTCATATAGGAAGGAATGAGGCACTGTGCCTAGCAACCAGCTCTGCTGCTCTTCCCCAGGCTTTTCACTCCTGCCAAATTGCCTTTTTGGTTAGGCAGCAAAGGGTTATTACTCTTCATTCAGTCCTCTCCCATCCCAACAGATCAGGCTGGTCTCCATGCACAGAGGTGCCAAGGTGAGGCTGCTCATGGCCCCATCATTTGTGCTTGCAGAGCTTTTTCTGTCTGAGTTCTGTCTCCCCTTCATCCCCTCCAGGGAAACTAGAGGGCAGAGGGAGTAACATTTACCCTCCTTCTCTCTGGTCCCTCAGCAATCCTTGTACCTGGAGCATGGGATTACAAAAGGGAGACTTCTGAAAGGCTCAGATGAGGACCACACTATCTACAGAAAGACATTTGACTTAATGCTGTCTTCTCACCTGGTTTGTAGGGTAGGAAAAGGGTGGAAAACAGCAAAGCCCAACATTTGTTCTTGATGCTTTTTTCCTCACCCTAGAAGAAAAAGCAGCAGAGCATCTCTGCACACCAGCATAGCTCCAGTGTCTTGACCATGCACACAAGACCTTGGAGGGTTTTTTGGTTCATGTCAGATGAATGTTCCTCCAGTTTCACAGAGCTCTGGCATGGGTGGAATTCATTGCTTTGCCTGAACTTAAAGGAGGAAGGTTTCAGCTGGGGTTGGTTTCTTTCTGTGAATTGACACTGATTTCCAATAAGAATTTAGCCTGTGGCTTCAACTAGTTCAAGCTTGCATGTCTTTTGAGTGTAATTATTTTTGTGTTGTGTGACTGCAATGTTAGATTCAAAGCTCTGGTGAGGCCTTCTGGGGAAAGCTGCTTGGAGTTGGACCCTTTTAGGCAAGGCTATAATTATCTCACAGCACAGCCCTTGCATCAGCTTCCTCATGATTTCTTACAGATAATGGAAACAGTACAGGGCTTCTAAATGAAATCCTAACAGGATAATGAAATTTCTGTTAATCACCTTACTAAACACGCAGGGAGGATTATTCTGAGTCTGAATGATGGGCTGGTTTCAGTAGGGCTCTGTGAAATTACACTAGCTGTGGAGCAGAAGTTATTGCCTCCACAGATGGGGGTTGGAAAAGCTCCTGAGCAGAGAATCTGAAGAAGTGGGACAGGTTGTTGCCTTGGTGGGCTACTCACATCACCTCTGTGGACCAGGGCAGGCTTGGCAAGGAAGAATTAACTCTTCAGCCTCTTTTTAAGCATTCATAGACTATCATCTCTCCTTGCTTGCTCTAGGCTCTTATTCCACTTGTGATTTCTAGACCTCTTAGACCCTCTTTTTTGGTTTTGTGTCTTATAAACCTTGTAACTGGCTGAAATAATTATAAGGGAAGATGAAGTACAAAGGATTATCCTTATTCCCTATAATGTATTCCTTCATACTCCTAGCTTTAATCTTCTTGCTGCCCTGACACTGTGCTTACTGCAACTGTCTTCCCCTTCCCTTAGCTTCCCCTTCATGTGGAGTGGGAGCAGTGATCCTTCTCAGCCCTAAAAGGATGTTCTGAGACATCATTAGGGCTTTCAATCTATTTTTTTTGCCTTCTCTCATCCTCTTACTGTTAATTTTTGTGTTACTGGGAATTTTGCCATGGATAACCTTGTGTGAAATTCACTTTAAAAAGACTGAGTTCCCTTCTGTAGCTTTGGGAAATGTGCAGAGTTTTAATTGAGGTGAACTGGAGGTTCAGCCAAGGAAAGGTGGAAGCAGTGGCTTGGATTCAAGAGGATAACTTTTGTAAAGTTTAAGTCTCTCTCTGCCTTGTAAGCAGTTCTGCTGTGGGGTTTAATTTGCTCAGCAATCTAAACACTGGCTAGTAAAGACACTTGTTATTGCTCCTTCTGTCTTGGCCACGTTTATTCTCAGCTGTGTATGGACCCATCTTGGGTTTTTTTTCTTGTTTTCAACAAGATTGTCACCTTCTTTAAAGGTAAAATAAACTGAAACCTGAATGAAGTGCCTGTGTGATATAATTAAACAAATTGGAAAGGTTGGGCTTTCTTCTTTAGGTTGTCTCAATGTCCTCCAGGGCTTGGTTTTGCTTTCCCAATTCACTTCCCCTCTGTTGCAGAACTCTGGTGATTTCAGCAGTGTCCCCCCAAGCAAATTCTCTTCTCTTTGAATTTCAGATTAGTGCACTTGCACTTTTTTTGTCTGTTTTTAAGCAAGTGGTTTAACGTTTCCTGGCTTCTGGCTAACCCAACTTTTCAGCTCCCCCCTGACAAAATAGCAGGAAACTGTGGCTGGCAATTTTTTTTTGTTCCTGCCAGTGGTGGAGAAGCAGTGACATTCTTGGGGGGGTGAGAAAAAAGATCAATCAGCAGAGCTTGTTGTTTGGGGAATGAAAGATTTGAGTGTCTAGTGGAAGTCTGTGCCTCTCTGCAGCAAATCTCGGGGAGGTGTGGAAGACTTTCTGGGCTGTGGGTGTGGAACAGCCAACACTACAGCCAGTTAATACTGAAACATGATGAGCAGAGCCCTATTATTCACTGGAAATTTGCACAGTGGCCTTTTGGGTTTCTCTGTGCCTCCCTTGAAGAGCAGTTCCACTTCCTGCTTACCTAACCACCTGAATTTACGGCTGCTTATTGATAGGAAAAGCAACCAATTTCCTGACTTCTTAAAGCTCCAGTTCAGAGGGAAAAACCCAAAGGGTGAATCATTTAGGCCCTGTTGAATTTCAGTACAAGAGCTGCTCTTTGCATCAAAAGAAATGAAAGCTATTGGCTCAGACAAGTGAGCCTGTCAGAAAACTCTGTATTTAAGTTTCCATTCAGAAAGAATCCAGCCCCTGCTAAGGCTAAGGGAGTGATTTTCTTTTCTTCAGTACCCACTGGTATTTTACTGACCCAATTTATGAGTCTTATCAGGAGAAAGAGAGGCTTGAAGACAACTCCTTAGTTCTGTCAGAGTGATATGCATCATACATTACCCCCAGTGCAGCCCCTACCCACTTGCCCCGTGGTCCAATCCTGTGTCCTTCCCAGGTGCTCAGGAGGTTTTCCTTCCTGCTTCAGAACGGGGTCACACCACAGATGTCTCACCAGCTTCCTTTTCTTCCACTGCTCATCCCACAGCACCTTTTGGTTTCGTTTTTAGACTGCAAAATGAGATTGAAGTACGTTCTTCAGGGTTGTAGAGTGCTAAAATAAAGGTATTTAGGGTGAATGCTCTGGAATTGGGAAGCCCAGGATGAAGTTCTGGGTTTGCTGCAGGGGTCTCACCTGCTTGAACAGAATCGTGTGCTTGTGGTTCCACTGAGCAGCAGCTGAGAGAACCAAACAGCTTTAGCTGTTAAAAGGGAGAGGTCTGATTTTCCTTCTCCCCCTCAGAAGATGTTGTTTGGACACTGGTTTGATCTGAACTCAGATTTCACCTTAGTTCCAATCACCCCTTTTTCATTGGCTATTTTCCTTCCAAGTAGTGCTGTCCAGCTGAGAGGGGAGTGGGATTCAAGGGGTGCTGTGCTGAGTCCTGGGTGGATTTCTGTCCTCTCTGTTGAGTCCACAGAGCAGGACCAGCTGGGTAACTGCTGTAACACTGGCTACAGACAGTTCTGGGAACTGCAGGAAACCTCAGAAATCAGCAGCTCTTGAGGATGAGCAGCCTGGGTTGCACTTTCTCCTTGCCAAGGGAAGGTGAGCATGCTGTTAGATATGACTGAGGTGGTGTTGCCCTAGGCCATCCAGGCCAGCAGGGTGGATGTTTAAAAAGAGGGAAATCTTAGCAGAACTATGGAGTAGGACAAGAGCAAATGGCCTCAAGTTGCACCAGGGGACGTTTAGGTTGGATATTGGGAAAAATTTCTTCCCCAAAAGGGAAAGGAGGACCTGTGGGGTTGTGTGGGTGGGTTCAGTGGCAGTGTCATCCTGCCACCTCCTGTCCCTTGGGGATGCTGCAGCTCGGTGTGCACTGTGTGACAGCAGGTACCAAAGGGTAAGTTTATTTTGTGACTGTGCCAAAGAGGAAACCTCAATATTTTTTAGTAGTTACCTCCCAGGAACAAAAAGAATCAGCAAATTTTCTAAACTCTCTCCTGGACATAAAGCCACAGTTGCAGATCTGGGTGCAGCCCATTTACTTGCCCTAGCCTAGAGCATATTTGGAAAGCAAATCCAGCCACTGAGTTTCAACCTCGAGCCTTGGTGTTGGAGTGGAGCTGATGGGCTTTGTCCTCCTGCCTCCAAAGCTGCTGCCTGTCTCCAGGAGCTCCACCTCATCCTGGCCTCCTCCTGCAGAACCTGCCTGGTGCTCAGGCTGCAGCAGCCCGTGCTCGGTCACTGGCTCCCCCATCCACTGATGTTGCTTCAAACTGGTGACGCAGCCACAGGGTCATGAGAATGTGCCTGAATTTAGGGTAAGCACAGGAGGGGAAGGAAACCTGCACGTGCCCTTCAGCTCACTGCTCATTTCAACTCCTCTGGGGTTAGAAGCAGCATCTCAGAAGCTGCATCTCAGCAGCGTCTGAGGTGTAAAAGGATTTCCCATCGATTTGAAACCTCTCTCTCCCTTCCTCCCCATCCCCTTGGTGCTCCAAGCATCATTGTTTCCTGCTCAGATGGTGTCCTGATATGGTAAGTATGTGTTGCTCTTTGTCTGTCACCTCAACCAGATAAAAAAAATGAAAGAGAGTCTTATTATAAGAGGTTAAAAGTGCAAGGCAGGGAGGATCTAACGAGTGAGGGAG